TTCAATTTTTCGATCTTTTTCGTCGTGTTGTGATGACGTCAAATACGCGATTTCGGCGACCGCGCTTTTGTGGAATGCGCTTTTGACGGGTCACGCTTTCAATTTCCCAATAATGATCTAGCAATATTCAGCAAAGCACTCTATGCACCAAATTTTGAAAGTTTAATTAATATACAATAAAGTTCATAGAACACTGTTACATAGCAAAATGATACTGCTGGGAAGAATTAATGGTTGTTTGTGGAAGCAGAATTCAAATTGCAATACTGTAACTTAGTTTAATCTCATTGGAACTTCTCATACCAACCACTGCAAACTGAATTCCTGAAAGTAAAATTCCATTTATTCGTGTTTTTAGAATTATCCAAATGACTTGGATCTAGCACCAATTCCATATACCAGGTCCTCCCTCGTCCCCCGGGATGATGCATTTACAGAAATAAGTAAACAATAGAGTATTTCTAAATAACTCTAATAATTTGTATTTAGCTACTTTTTTTTACAATTACCAATGTATAAAGTTTATAGAATAAACTTTTCATAGGAAAATAATGAGAAAGCTAATGCCCCAAGCCCCAAATGAACAGACATACATGCCTAAGTGAAATTATAATTATTAAATGACTATCTTGTTCTTAAAACCATTGTGGCAGTCTGAGGGATCCAGAGGGCACCAGGTCCAATATCAAATATACAATTATCCTAATCTGGATTTGTATGGACTGTTTCTGCTATAGAATTCCTTAACAGTAACAACAGGGCACAGGTTAGTATTTTTGATAAAGTTCATAGAGTTAGACTTTAATGGTCCAAATTCAATTAAAATACAGTAATGCAACTTGCATTTCCTGGTTTGGAAAGAAAGAACTTTATGCAAGAGTTACTTCCTTTCACTCCAACTTCAATCATCATGAAAATAATTTGTTTTATTTTTTTTTACCTCAAGTAATTATGACCAGTTCTTCCTAAACCCCCTTTAAAAAAAAAAAAAAAGGATAAGAGCTTTGAATTTTAAATTCAAAGAACGCTTTCATAACATTTGGAACAGCATATGAGGAGAAACATATTTACTGATTTATTTACAGTACTTTAATACAAAGAACAGCGGTACCTTTCCACTGGCAAGAATCTCCATACATTCTTTTCTGGTTAAGCAAACATTTACCACCAAAAGGCTAAAGTCATTCACATGCCACAATACACTTTCCATTATCTCATGTTTTAGACAAAACATCCTTAGCATCCAGCTTGGCAGAGCATAAAACATTTGTACTTTAAACTATTTTATGATAGTAAATTATTCAAGTGTTAGATCACCAAGGCCTAGTTTTAAGTAAACTTCATTGGTTGACAGACAGGGACAACTTCTGGCTAATACCCAAACCTTTGGAAGAGTGTGAAGAGCTAAAGAATTATAAGAGAGGAGAAGAGTTTTTCTTAATAGTAATGTCACTAACTAAACTTATTGCCCTGTTTTATTTTTAATTCCTTGGTTATCCCTCTTTCCATTAAAAATATAGTTCTGTTTCCCTGCAACATAAATTTATTCAGTACTTAAACAAGCCTTGAAATACCTTGTTTATTCAATTTATCATCAATTCTACCTCAGACTTTCAACACTGCTAAAACAACACGCAGCCTAGGTTAGATGTTTCAAAGTAAACTATAGGGATGAGAATGTCAGATTTGACTATTTTTCATATTAGAAAAAACCAGCTCCCACAGCTTTTATAACAAAGCGTTATCTCTTACATTCTTGTTGACATCTAATTTCCATAATCAGTGGGAAGGAAGGAAAGGAAGCTAAGAAGAGACCAGAAGGTTATATATTAATCTTTAGCTAATCATGATTGGCTAAACATGATAATGACTCAAAAGATAGGATACAACAAGTATTTACTGCTGGATCATAATTTGTACTCTTTAGTGCTGTGCTAGTCCATTTGACTCACAGCTTTGTCCTCTTTTAAAGCTTTTACTTCCTTCTCTCTCTCACTTTCCCCACTAAATAAAGTTGGTTACCATCTGTTCTGTCTCTTTCAACCTGGGCTTTTTAAGCTTCTTAATCTTCTCCCAATTTGACAGACAATTTTCTGAGATAAATGAAAGATGCAAAGGTGTTGTTTAGTTTTCACAGTACCCATGGTAACAAAGGTGCATTTTTTGTGTGTCTCCTTATAGAAAAGGGTCTTTGTTAATTTCTAACAAAGTAAAATAACTTTATAGATGATGCTATTCCCAGTAAATTTTAAAAATACATACCCAGCCTCTCTGTCATAATGAGGATAAATAGGTAATTATTTTTAAATAGTTTTAATAAAGTTTTTAGTAACCACAGTAAAAACAAATCCAAAGTAAGTTACAAGGAAAACGAATGACTAAATGCTGAAGGCGCATGGAACGCTGTTACCTTCCCANATACTTTTAGCATTTTTATTATAACTCTTGCCAAATTTCAATTCACTTAGATGAAAATATCTTTTAACAGTAGGCCATGACTTTCTGACTAAATATGTTCCATATTTAGTTTTTGTTTGAAACAAAAAAATGGAAAGTAGTTTAGATGATCAAGTCCAATCCCACTGCTCAATGCAGGAATAAAACCAATCTGTCTGAATAGAACAGCATACACCCACATTAAACGATTATATAGCTAATATAACAAATAATTTAGCTATTTTAAAATACAGAACATTTATTTAATTCATTTTGTTTTACAGATTTTATAGGCTGCCTATCTCAGAAGACTCTGGGTAAGTTACAACATGCTAAAATTATAAGCAGTAGTAGAAATCAAAATGATAAAAATATCAGTAATGTTGTAAGGGAGAAATATGTAAAATAATTGGGATGTTTCCTCCTACACATGGAACATAAATTAAAGTCTTCTACTATAATTTGATGCGGGATCTGTTTGTGCTAGAATGCACCAAACAGATACACCGAAGTGCCTTTTTGTTGTTAATGTAATGTGAATTGTAATGATAAACAAAGATAAGACATGTAGTATGAACTGAACACACACAGGTAGAACACAAATAAAATTGATACATTTCTCTCTATGGAAGATGCAAGGTAGGATTACAAGCGCCCCCTTCTACAATTCTCTGCAAATAGAAAAATGACACAGTAGTTTTACCTTACACTTTTGATGTGCAGAAAGTTGTATCACAAGAGCTTTCAATCCAACACTTGCAATTGAAAGACACTCCATTCATGTAATTTCATTCAATTTCTAGAGTTTATTGAATCTAATAGCTCACCATTATTGGCAGCTTATTGAATCTAACAGTCCACCAACTAAGAAAAATGACTCTAATGACTTTGATTTTGTTACGTCTAATCCAGAGGTGGATTTCTGCCAGTTTGCCCCGGATTGGGCGAATTGGTAGTGGCGGTGG